CTGAAGACACATTTAACTGCCACAGTCTACACCAAGCCCTCAGATAAATCATGTATAACAAATTCTTTCTGTCTGTGTTGAAGCTGCACAAAACCCGCTTTCTGCTTTTTTTTCATTCCTTTTACTTCCCATCATTCTGACTGTGGACACAGTAGTCCATGTAAACATGCATTCCTCTCTGTCTTGTGCTTCATTAACATGCACTGTGTGCTTATTGGAGAAAATGACAAATGCATTCCACAAATATGATTGATTGGCTCGTCTCGGTGTGGGGAAAAAATGCTCCTATAACATTCCTCATTCTGTAAAGACGCTACTGTAGTGACTCAGTTACACTGGTTGGTTGTTATTGTGACATTTTATGTGCTGCCCATGGAAAAGACCAACTTTGTGGATTTTAAACCTTTCTGCAGAAAATCATCTGTCAGCCCTGCTTTGTTTTTGTGAGAGGTTCAGTCACCAACCTCAGTGTTTAGTATTCATGGGTTAGCCCAACACACAAGTGTAGTCAAGTGTAGTGGGATTATTTTTTGTCACTGTTGCTTTGCATTACATGCCATCTCAGATTTGTGTTTTCTGTAAAAACCAAACAGGAATCGATACAAAGTGGCAGCAAGTAATCACACATTGACTTGACTATTTAAAACCATCTGGTGATAAAACTGGAGATTGCTACAGAAACTGTTCATGATCGACCTTTAAGGCCAAGATTGTGTGTGAATATGTGCCTCATGTCTTTGGCCTTTTTGGTACTTGTCACTATGGATGTTCCTGCTTTGTTTCTTCTTTGGTGGGTTGTCTTGAAATGGACTCACAGTAGATTGTCCAAGATTTGCCTCTATCCTGGATGAATTGAATAGTTCACTGTTGATTTTAGCCTGTTTCTTGTTCCAGCTGTGCTTATATCCCTCTTAGCACTTCCACTTCTGGGTTTTTTAATGGTTATTTCTGAGATTTCCCCCCATTCAGTTTAGTTACTTAAAGAAAATGAACCATTGAATTGTCCAACCTGAGCTGTTTTGCTATGATAAAAGCTCTATTTTCTTGATGTTGTAGATTTGTTTCCCAGTGGGAAGCTGAGACGGGTAATGGTTCAGTCTGTTATTTGCCTTCAACAATTGTTACCACTGTAAAGACCTGAAAGTGCCATAGAGGTGACCATGGAAGTGTTTGTAGGGGACTGTTGTGAGAGTAGATTTGTGTAGTAAAAGGAAGCGTTGATAGGTGCCCGAATTTAAAACCACTTTGAGGTGCTATATTTAGTGCAAACACTATATTCAAAGGACCCTGTTCCTAAAGTACTGTATGTTGGCCGCCTGGATGATATCCCACAATGCACCAGGCAGCATTACTGGTCGGGGTTTGTAAGACACATCGTGCCACCGACATTTTGACACTTTCCACCTCGGTACGGGTATTCAAAACATTCAGAAAAAAAAAAAGAAAAAAAAAAAAAAAGATGTCAAACCGATAAGCTGTCAGCCGAACGCACAGCTTCGTCAGTCATTGTGGCTTCAAGATGCATTTGAACAGTGAGTCTTAGAATATTAGTGACTGGAAATCTACAGAGTGCTACAGAAATGTGGATCTGACAAATTATACTGCCCTATCTTGTATATCAGACTGCCACTCTATGGATTCTTTATAGCACTGTTGGCACGAGAGCTGTGTTTTGAGGAATAGTAGTGAATAGCGATCCAAAGGGACACTGTAGGTTGGAGAAATGTGCAGTTGAAAGATAGATGTATGTTTGTAATTAAGGTCTAGAAAAATGAGTGAAAGCTGTGTAAATAACATGACCATATTTTCTGTTTTGTTTTGTTTTTTTTTTTCATTTTTGTTTTGTGGTTGTGCTGAAGAGGGTATTTGTTAGGGAGGTGGGTTATAAATGTTTCCCCTTGTCTTTGTTCCCTGCACCTTGCCATAATGCATCATGAGACAACAGAACCTCTGTTATATTGGAGGTCGTATGAATATCAAGAAAGAAAATCAGACAAAAAGGAACCAGGATGAAACCTCATGTGGAGGTCTGCTCAGCATTTTTGTTCATTATTCATGCTTCAAGTATCAAACATTGATTATAAGAAAAATTAATAAAGAATTTTTAAAACGGGCTCATTTTGCAGTTTTGAATTTGCAAATGTACTGATTTGTTGGTGTATCCTTTTCATGCAGTCATGAGTGTGTTTAGATTTAACAGATATAACAGTTGTCTTTACAGAAAACTCTTTAAAGGATAAGACTGTGCAAAAATAGAAGTTGAAGTTTGTATGTTTTTTTGTAACAAAGTAGCAATCTCAAGATCAGTTGCATTATCTTTGGTGGCACCTATGGCAATGCATGGTAATTGCATGTTCGTTTATGAACCACACATGTTCCATCACCGAGGAGAACAGACATCACTAACTGTGTTAGTGACTCTGGTGCAAGTCACATCAGACACCCGGTTCATAAAAACTGTAAATGCGTCTCAAACTATGTCATGCTGGGTTCTTGAATTTGAGTAAATCTGGCCTGGACAGTCTTTAAATTTTATGTTAAAGAAGGTGTGGGAACCCTGTCTTTGGTAGAAATAGGAGCAGAGATGATACTTTGAATGGTATTGTTTTGCCTTTACTGATTTATTGCGCTTGGTCATATTCATTGTGTGAACCTCCAAAAATAACTTAACACACTATTTCAGTAGGTGCACCATAAGTTGTGACACTTGATGACAAGTCTCTGTTGCAGCATCAATGAGAAACACAGGACTATTGTGAGCCACAAAGCTATTTGATGTGCTGTAATGGCAGATACAACCATGTGTGAAGCATAGAAACAGCACATCGGTATGAAGAATCTCTCCCTCTAGTTTTCAGTACTGCCAAGGTACTTTTATGTCCTCTAGTTTTATAAATTGTCACCTTCTTCACAGCTGACCAACTATGATATCAACATCTCACACCACCTGTCATTCATAACTGAATGAAATAAGAAAGGAGACATGAGCAGCCTTAAATAGATCCCCCGCATATTTAGAGAAGTACCCAGAGATGAGTGCTCCTGAAAGACCATGGAGTTTATATGTTCGCTCTGTACATGTGTTTTGGGATGAAAAGAGTGCTTTCTCTCTGTGCTGGTCTTGTATGCCCTGTAGAGACAGGCTGTAATCAACGTGGACTAAATTAGAGAGGACTCAGTGGGAGGCAGAGAAGTCTTAGGACTCGCCCCACCAAGTACAGAAATACCCATTTCCCTAAAACATGGGACTGTTGTACCAACTGCAGTGTCTTTGCAGGTCATTTTTGCCATTAGTTTTAAAGCAGAAAGCTCAGGTTGAGCTGTGTCTGTCAGTTTAATGAGCCAAGCTTTGAACGAGTCAACACATATTCTGGTAAATTACACTTTTATTCCAAATACTGGCCATTTCTACAGATAAACGTTTTTCAGTGATCTATGTATTATAAAATGTCATCATGCACACAGGGTCACTTCTGCATGGCTGTTCTCTCCATAATAATTCCCAAAAACGGCAGAATAAAAATGACCGCTTCATATGAGCAGGAGGATGAAGACTGAGGATGGGAGGTTGAGAAAGAGGGAGGAGAGGCTGAAAATAGAGGGCTGAACATCAGTTTGCAGTAAGAAGCCTTTTTAGAGCTCAGTAAAAAAAACTCTCAGTATAACACAGCAGGGAGGGTGAACGCTCGGAAACTCTCTTCATTCTTACTTTCCTCTCGTCACTCTGTCTCTCCCCTTTTTTCCCTCTCTGTCTTCTGCACTGCATTGAGCTGTCTAGAAGATAAACCAAGGATAACACATACTGTAAGTATATATTTAGATTTGTTATGAATTTAAGCCCAGTCTGTTTATCCAAACTGACGATATGTTTAGTAAGTGTCAGATTTTATGATGCGTTTGGTTCATATTTTAAGTTTTCTGCCTCTACATGTAGAGTACGTGTACGGTTTTTAGAGGCCTGGAGAGATAAAACTACTATTTTGAGGAACTTATATTTCACTTGGGTGTTTCCCATATCTTTGATTTTACATTTATACTCCATCATATTTTAGCTGGAAATATTGTACTGAACAATTATTGTATTTTAACATTTATTTCACAGCAATAGTTAATTTGCAGATTGGGATTTTACATTCAAAACATATGGTCAGTTTAAAAAATATGATGCATTGTAATAGATTCAAATTCTCCTAAGTAGATAAAGTTAGCTTTATCTCCACAACTGTAATAATAATAAAATGATATATGACTTTATAACTCACAGGGGCCATTTTTGATACTTTCTACATTTTGCTGATAATATATAATAATAATAATAATAATAATAATAATATATAATAATAATAATAATATTTTAATATTTATACTTTAATACTTAATAATATAATAATAATACTAGTTCGAGTAAGATTTTTAATGCTGAACTTTTACTTGTGATTATAATCCGTAAAAAAATGCAGATACTTATTCCTCCCTTACTAACATTAGATGTTTTTCTTAATCTAAATGATCAATAACATGATTGACCTTTATCCTATACTAATCTTTTTTTAACTCTCAGAGCCTTGACCTGTAGTTTAGAGTGTGCAAAGTTTTATGTAAGAAATGTTTTCTGCCAGCAGCTCCACCATTGTAAATGTGTTGTCTGGCCAAACATTGTTAAAATGTGCCTCTTTTTACTTTTTAATTGAGACTTTTTAAAACCACCATGTACATCAGACTGAATTTTCAGTAGATAGCCAAAACATTCAGGACATGTTCATTTCAAAGATGCAGCCATAAAAACATGGTGTTAGAATATTTCACTCAGTCTAAGCGTTAGTGAACAAGCTCACATAAGATCCCATCATACAGTGTGGTAAAAGCTTTTTGTAAATTTAAAGACACTCAAGGGGATGTCATGAAATGGATTAATTGCATATCAGTGTCTGGATGGCCTTCAGTCGAAGGTAATGTCGACCCTGCGGTAAAACACAGGAAATGTAATTATGGCTGTAATTATGGGGATTCAAGGGGCAGTGCTGTCCTATAGCTGTACATCCAAGGATGAAGACCCGGCCTACCATCTGGTCCAGCAGAGTGCATAGTGCATGTTCGACCACACAAGAAGGGGGGTTGAACATGCACTACAGTGTAAAACAGAGCAGCAGCAGGTTCACTATAGCATGATGCTGATTAGAAGCTTGTCTTTACAGTTTAGCATGGTGTAATTACACACTGTGTTAAGAGTTTTTATTGGTAACAGACTGAACTATGCACTAAAGGTTTCAGTTTTTCTTTGTTAAAGCTTGAATTCACATTGAGACATGGAGACCGAATAATGGAAGAATTGGGTCGGGAAGTTTATTTTGTAGGTTGTACTGTAAGTAAATGCAGGTTTCCCTGGAGGCAGAAATATCTTCATCAGGTCTGTGCTGCTGTGGGCTGGTGTACAGCAGCTGGTGCCCAGTGTAAATATAGAGGCCACAGCCACAGGTCTCCCACGCCTCTGTGCTCCCTCTGGTATATAGCTTCCTACTGGCTTTGGTGTGGTGGATGGGTGGCCGCCCTCCTTTTTACAAATTATAAGGCCTTCAGCACCAAACTCACTGTCTCCACCCCAAATAAGTAATGGCTACTCTGCTGCCTGCTAAAATAGATCTGGTGCAAGACTTGAGTCAAGATGGATACTGGAGTTACATTTCAGATGGAAGCAGCCCTTAAAACATTGTGTTATTTTATCAGTGTGTGTCTGCTGCATGAGTTACTCCTTGACACTAGTTAGCATTGTGGTTCAACGGGTAGCAATAAAAATCTGAGGGGTTGCAAGATGATTAAAATAAGTAAAACATATCTGCAGCACAAATTATGTTTACTCCTTACTGACTTTTCTCTACTCTTTGCTCATTACAGTTGTGAACTACTGCCTCTCTCCGCCTCTAAAAGAGAAACAACCTCTTTAGTTGAACTGCTCAAAACTCACATACACTATGCAATGTTGCTTCACTTTTGGAAAAAAAAAAACTTGTTTGTTGTCTTGTCTCTGGCTTGCCCATTACGTATGAAACTAGAGCCAGAAGGCAGTTAGCTTAGCTTAGCATAAAGACTAGAAGTAGGGGACACATCGAGCCTGGCTCTGTTCGAAAATACCCCTGTCAGCACCTCTAAAGCTTGAGTCTTTGCTGTGAGGTGGTTGCCAAGAAATAGTTACACGTGTCTCCCCATATAACCACAACCTTTCATCTTCACTTTTTTTAAACTGTTAGTTTGTGGATTACACAAACAAGACACAATGTGTTAATCAGTGAGCTTTAGAGATGCTGTTAGGCAGACTGTTGCCTTTGGTCAGAGCCAGGCTAGCTGCTTCCCCCTGTTTCAAGTCTTCATGCTAAGATAATCTAATCACAGCGTGACTCTATCTTCATAATTAATGCACAGAATCTTCTCATCTAACCCTCCGTGGGAAAGTGAATAAGCGTATGTCCCAAACAGTATTTCTTAAAGTGGCATCAAACCACCGTGTTAGTGGATCCCTAAAGATCAGGTCTGAACATACAATTTTTTTTCTGAATTAAAAACAGCCTTTTGTTGTTATTGCAGGACTCAGAAGATGAAGTCTCACTTGGTTTTTCACGTCACTTGTGTGACCCTGCTCTCACTGTGGTGTAGTGTGTGTCACTCCGCTCCTATGTTCTACAACATATCCATGGACAGCAGTGGTGACGCGGAGCTGGAGCTCCTTTTCCCAATTTCTTTCTCCACCCGAGCACCTGTTCAAATCACCACTGCTACTGGACCTCCCACCCTCACCAACACCATCACCACCACCATGATCCGCCTGAAGGACTTTGTCCTGAGCCGGGTGGTGGATTTCCTGCAGGAGAATTTGCTCATTATCATCGTGGTGACCTCTCTTCTCATCGTCATGGTCTTCATCATCTGCTGTGCCTCTGCCATGAGTCATAAGCGCAAGCTGGAGGCCTACAAGCCCCCTCCTCACCCACCCAGGAAGTATATGGCAGATAAAACTGGTGGAAGCAAGAATTCAAGCGAGGTCCAGGAGAGGCCTTACGCCGTCGACCACGTCAAGAGGGTCCAGACTCAAAGCTCCCCCAAGAACCTGCGCATGCCCTCTAAGGCTCTGGTGGGGGAGAGAGGGAGAGACGTCAGGTCATCACCTCGCCAGGAGGTCAGAAAGGTCCGGGAGGCGGAGGAGGTGGAAAAGCGGAGAGAGGAGCCGAAGCACAAAGAGCAGTCGAAGCACAGGGAGGAGGTGCAGCAGAGCTCCAGCCCCAGCACCAGCTCCAGTCAACCGGTCTGCACCTGCCATCTGAAAAAGGCCCATCACTAGGCCATGACCAAGGATCTTGATGGCAAAAGAGGTGAAATGTTTCGACCATGATAAAACAAAATGTGTCAAACATCTTTTAATTGAAAGAGCTTTTTACAGAGGGAAATGTATGTAAGTGAAGATCATGCCTCATATGAAAAATGATCCATCTTTGAAACCCTTAAATCTAAACACTTATAGAAATATGAAATACTACATTACAAAGAAAAAGAAAACAGAACAGAAGATATGTGGACAGAAAGCAAACACACAAATGTGTTTGTGCACAAGTCTACAAATGTTACCCACATCTCCAAGCACGTCTCTACGTTTCTGATTCATGTCGAGTTTAAATGGGGGATGTGGAGATGTGGGCAAGGTTGTTGATTTGTTGAAGTGGTCAGTCCTTTGGTTTTATCAGTGATTGCAGAACAACCAATTCTCAACAGCCTGATATCAAACCGTTGTGCTATTGAGGTCGCATCACTTCAGGAAATAAGTTTTTTGTTGTTTTTTTAAGTGGAGAAAGACCTGAAAAAAACTAATATCTTAAAATTATAAAGAATGGATTTGAATTTCCCATGTTTGCCAAATAGAAATGACAAAAATAGTAAGTATTCATGTGTTTTTAATACAGAGATGTATTACTCCATATGCCTGCCAAGACAGAGGAATCTCCTCAGTCTGTCCTGCTGTACGCCACGACATCTTTTTAGCAGCTAAGAGCCTTTGGCTGAATCAGTCTGTCATTTAAAGAAAAATCTCTGGTGCTGTAAATAAAGCAGTAAACTTGACTTGTTGGACTTAACAAGAAAACACTCTCTTTATATTTACATTCATATTTACCTGATTTTTTTTTTTTTTGCATAATGTTATGTTATGTCATATCATATTGTATTTTTACTTTAAGAACCTATTTAACAAAGCTTTATACCAAAAGTAAAATTTGTAACTGTGTTATTTCCGGGTAGCTGAAGTTAAAACATACATATATCTACTATCTGTTTGTCTACATATTTATTTGGTTGTTAATTTTGATCTGCCTTCAACTGGCATGTACATTAAAAGCAGGCTTTTTTGGTATAAAAACTTTGTGAATAAGGGTTTGAGTTTTTCTAAATAAGTAATATTTCTGTATAAGATAAATTATGATTTTTGTTTTTAATGTAATGATTTGTAATGAGTCAAAAACTTGAGTACAGGGATAGATAGTTGGTCTGTTTTCACTGGTCTAACAGGTTTAATTTGACTCATGGTGGCTGAAAAAGGATTTAAAAATTAAAAGCAGAGAAGTGTGTATTTGGTGTTTAGTTATCTGATCTTGTTTGATTCAAATTCCAGATTGCACTGGTGAAGATCATCCAACTCCCTGTCCCATTACTTAAGTTAATGATTCTGAGAATTAGTGTGTGATATACATTTTGTGTGATTTATGGGCCAGAATTTTGTCATGTTTAAATACTCTTTTCCGCTGAACCTCAGATTTGATTTTTGTCCTCAGATGTTTCCAGACAGATGCTTCCTCTGTAAGTGACAGTTTTATTGTTTACAAAATGCTTATGGTTAATAAAAGTGTTGGTACTGATGTTTCTGTCATTATTTAAAATGTAGCAGTGAAAATTGGTAGAAGCAGTGCCATGATGAAACACAAATACAGCCCTGAAGAAACCTAAGATTAGAAAAAGCGAGGAGGGTCTAAAAAAAGAAGATGCTCGCTACATGCACATTATGTTCAACTTGGGAATCTGTAATTTCGAGCTGCGTCCACTCAAGAATGTCAGATTTGTGATGCCTGCTCTGTGAAGACACACACTGTATTCTAACTTCACATTTCAAGCCCAAGATATGCACACACACACACACACACACACACAACACAGTAACACCAACTCTTCCGCAGTTTTCTGATTGGCAGTGGTGAGGCAGCTGGCACCATCACACCCAAACACAAGGACTGCAGAAGGTATCAGAGCCTGGAGATGACGAGAGCCCTCTTTGTCCTTAACTGGCTACTGTACAAGGTTGTTTAAATATTTCAACAGCAGTAAACTGGATACATACAGAGCCCTTCGCTCCAAAACAAGAGCTCATGTATTGTCTTTACAAATCTTGGGAGACGCTGATTTGTTCCAGTGACGTTCGAACATAAAGTCAAATAACTTTAACTTCTGTGTTCTCTATTTAGAACAAGCAATGAAACACTGCCCTTATGTGAACAGTTCAAATATTGATTGATCAGCTACTGTATGTGTGTTATGCTTTTCTTTTTACCACTTCCATCTTCATATGGCTACATTCAGACCATATCTGAAATTAAAAATGAATTAAAATTTAATTACATATTGCTAAAATGGCTGAAGCACAAACTTGCCAGAGATCAAACATCAAAGGTGAGAGCACACCAGCTAAAAAGCAAGTGTAACCCTGTGACAGGTGAAACGTGAGCCCTGGCAGAGCCTCGCACTGGGCTCAGATTCCCTGCTCTTTTGTCAGTGAGGTGCTAAATAATTCGAGAAAATACTACCCCTTCACTTTCACTCTTCCCACCATAAGACACGCGGCCACAGGTCCACTCAGCAACAATTTCTCTCACAGGGCGCGTTCACCAGATTCACTGTCTGTTTTTTAGGAGCCTGAACCTTAGGTAACCTCAGATAAGGGAATATTTGCGTCACGCCTTGTTTCCTTTTTTTTTTCTTTTTTTTTTGTTTGTTTAACACAATATCTCTTCTCTTCACTGTCTGCCACTGACAGACAACAGGGCTTCTCAGTCAATTTGAATGGTGAAGAGGATCCAGAATAGGTAATACAGCACCTTAAGGCTGTCGTTAAACTTTGATGAGCATCTGCCTGGAATTCTCAGTGGTTATCTTTAGAGAGACATTGGATCATGCGAGGGACCAGGGAGAAACATGCCTGCCCATCTCTTCGGAGGAGCAGATAATACAGGAACAGAAGAATGGTGAGCACTCAGGCCTGTCTTTTCTTTTTTGGTACCACTTTCTAATAAGTAGCCTTTTACAAGTTGTTTATAAATTGTCATTTAGTGATGAGAATAACTTTTGGTTTGCCAGGTTGTGGGAATTTTTTCTGGGCAGTGGGTCACTTTCTAGTAAGCCATCAGCTAGTTATGAATGTTAACTCATTGTAAATTGATTCATAAAAAAACTAGCAAAACCATCAGCTCTGCAGCTACATCAAATCAAATTAAGTCATTACTTAGGGGTCACAGGTTTCTATTATCTACTAAACCATCAGCAAAAGGTAGTAAGTGATTTGCAATTATAAATGTTAATACATCGTTAAATAATCCATCTGTCCAAGTCTGTAGTTGTAAAGTTGCTAATAAATGGATTTTGGTCCAGGTGACCTGCAGCTCTCTTCCAAAAAGTCAGTGGTCAATTAGTCCACATGTAATGTCCAATATCGGATCTATAAAGTATTAGTAAATGATTTATTTAACACCAATAAAGCCATTAATTACAATTTATAAACCCTTTAGGAAGGGTATCTTAATCTAAAGTGGTACCCCTCTATTAGTTAAAATAAGTGAGGCATCAGATTATTCCCTGATACAGTTTGATGTGCCTAATGTGGTCGTCTCTCCTCCGTTATTCCTCACAGTGAGTCATGCTTTGGTGCAGATGTTGTGTCCTACTGGTTCTCTGCATCTGTCCACTAGCCTGCCTCACAATGTCTCCCTGTCCTCCTGGCTGCTGCTGTCCTCACCCAGGACTTCTGGTTCTGTGCGAGTCTCTGGGTCTCAGGTCACTTCCTCGCTCTGTCCCTCTCCGCACCTCGGCTCTATCTGTGGCCAGAAACCGGCTGTGTAATGTGGACCACCTGCTCCGGCCCTTCTCCAGCCTCCAGGAGCTCAGTCTCAGTCATAACCTGCTGGCCCGCTTCCCCCGTGGCCTGCCTCCCAGCCTGGAGTCCCTGCATCTGCAAGAGAACCGTATCACTTACATCACTGCAGGTGCCCTGAGGCAGCTGGGAAACCTCACTCGTCTGGATCTGGAGGACAATCGCATCCGTGCCATCCAGCCCGGGGCACTTCAGGGTCTTAACAAGCTGCAGGTCTTGACACTGAAAGGGAACAAGCTTACAAGCCTACCTCAGAATCTCCCTCCATCACTCACCCATTTAGACCTCTCAGCTAACTGCATCTCTGCCCTGGACCTGCCCTCGCTGTCCGCCCTGGTCAACCTGCAGGTCCTGAGGATCAACAGCAACTGCCTGCGCTCAGTCCCGGACAGCGCCTTCGACAGCCTGCCGCGTCTCAGATCTGTGGACCTCACCGACAACATGTGGGTATGTGAGTGCGACATTCTGTACCTTTACCGCTGGCTGCTGAGTGGTAGGCTAAAGATGGCCACAGACTTGGTGTGCACCGAGCCTGACCATCTCGCTCACCGTCTGCTTCTGAACCTCTCCGTCATGGCGATCTGTCCTCGTGTCCTGAAGCCAAATGAGAGGACGCACCATCTGAACCTTAACTCTGCACTGGAGAGAAAGCTGGAAATGCTGACAGTGCAGCCGACAGCACAAAGCTCATTTGAAAACAAGATGAATGTGGAAGACTTGTCAGAGCAAATATCAAAAGAAACTGTTGCTCTCTTTTCCAAAGATGTTCCTGAGACTCGTGTATTACTGGAACCCTACACTTTAGAGACCCTCACCTATGAGGAGTGTTTATTCCTAAACAAAACACAATCTGTGAGCCCATCCCATTTAAAAACTACTAGTTCTCTTCCTGATGAGGAACAGAAATGCAGAGATAACGTCACAGGTCAGCACCCTCAGAGTAATGTGACCTCTGCTGAGGGGACACGGTCTTTGCTTTCTACAAACAGAGATGCAGCCTGGCCCACCCCCGTCCCACAACCGTTCACACAACAAGACTCTGCAGTGGTCATCTCTCTACTTGCTGTGTTATGTGTATTAGTAGCTCTACTAATGTTGGCAGTGGTGCTGGTATTAAAACAGGTACTTCTGCACCAACAGAGGGTGGCTCCGCTTGATGCAGGATCTGGTGGATGACATCAGCAAAGACACACTGAAATTGTTTGTAATCATTTAATTCACAATAAGCACAGTCTCATACAATGTTCTGTATTATGGTTTTATACATTTAATTAAGCTGTTGACCTAAGTGCATCTTCATACTGAACTCCCACAAGGATGCAGCTGTTTTATATATTCAAGCCAAAACACAGCCTAAATCCCAAAGAATATGCAAAAGAAAAGCAGACCCCAACTTATAGCTTCTGATTTATGATGCATCTCTGTTGTGTTCTCTATAGAAAAGTGCCCATTCTCCATTAACTTCCACCACCAAAATTAGCATCAATTAATAAACATTTCTGATCATCTGATGAGATAAATCCATAGACACCATTAACACCTGGCACTTGAACATATGGTCATTCTTGCATGAAATCAAGAGACTGACCCCACAACCATGGAGAGGCTATAAAGGCTATAAAACCCCCAGTAATCCCAGAAGGGTACAAGACCTGATGTAGTATTATGGCAACTCATCCTCTATACACCACCGCACGGCTGCGAGACATTGGCTGGTGCTGAAATATCAGTGGGATACCCCATACTGATAACAACATATTAATTGCTAGCTTTGACACGTTCCTCCTTCTTGTCCTGTTGTTTTAGCCTGTAGTCTGACAGCGCTGCTTTTATAGCATCTTCTGCAAGCACTAGAAGAAAAGGAGGGAGGAGGATTTATTAGGATTTAAAACATTATGATGAATTTAACTGCAGAAAAAGTTTTGGTTTCACTGTATGATAAGAATAAAATCCTCTATCATGGTATATGTAAATTTATATCAGAATAACAATATTTATTTTGGCATAATACATATGTTATAATAGAATATCTTGTTCTAGCTAATCCAATTAATTAAATACCTGATCAAAAGTATTTCATTGCATTGTTGCTCAAACTATTTAAAAATCTAGTATTGCTCATTGATTTACAACATTGCCTAATGTCCACTTAGACCAAGAGATGCTAAAGGAATAGCCACCACCGTGTTAACTGTAAGGCAAACTCTGAGATGGATGCTGTCTTTATATTGTGTAGATATAAATGACTATAAATAGGTGACAAATTATAGCAAAAACCTTAATAAAAAAACTGGACAAATGTAAAGATGCACATGCTTCAATATAGGACATGAGGAGGTAAATGAATATTTTAATGAGTAAGAAAACTAGACACCTATGGGAAATTTTAAACAGATGTGTCAAGTGCCAAACACTCTGAATAACCATCATCACAACACTTCTTTTGTGAGGAATAATGTTTCATCCCTCCAGTGGAGCTCAAGACACTTGAAGCAGTTATGGAGGCTTGTGATGTCTTACTGAGACACTTTGGGTTTTAGTTTGTCTTTTAATTTGTCACCGATCTCTACGTTAATAAAGTTTCTAGGTCTATAATGTTACTGTGTGATAGTTAACAAGTGTGTCTGTGTTGGTTTTATTGCCTTGAACTTACTAGAGCAATGCAGCTTGACTGGAGGAAGGCAGAGTTCTTTAGCAATATCTGTGTTCTTTATCTTCAGCGCTTCATCAACCTGCAGGGTGAAAGCAGAATTACCACATCACCAATAAACTAACCATAAAAACATTAACTTACAAAGCTTTTCCTTATTATCTGTGTTGTACCAACTTACCGACTTCCCCTTCACCCACTCTGTTGCTAGAGAACTGGAGGCAATGGCTGATCCGCAGCCAAATGTTTTGAATTTTGCGTCCACAATCTTGCCACTTTCATCCACCTCGATCTGCAAACAACATAGAGCCGAACACCAAGTAATACAGTAGGAAGTTTTAAGTCATGGCAGTGAGTAACTGGGTTGTGACACCTGTTCTTGACCTCCAACTTACCTGAAGTTTCATTACATCACCACAGGCTGGTGCACCCACCAACCCTGTCCCCACATTCTTGGAGTTTTTGTCTAAAGAGCCCACATTTCTCGGGTTTTCATAGTGGTCCACCACCTTCAGGAAAGTCACAGATAGAGACAACAATGCATTACTGGTCTGTTGTTTTAGATAATGAGTCAAAAAGATAGGGCGCTGCTGGTAAGGTTAACTGCACTTACTGACTGACAGACGGACAGACAGACGGACAGACAGACAGACAACGGGCAAACGACGCTAGCTAACTGTCGGTGGGTTGATTACAATTGCAGTTTGAAAACATATTTTTAGTCGGTTACCTTTTTGTGATATGAACAGAGAGCATTCAGCGCCGGGCTCAACAACCTCCTTCTAAATAACAACAGCGAGGTCGCTGAGTTTCGCAAGGAGACGGTCGCCATGTTCAGATGCCGATGATAAACGGAAATCAACGAGTGAGCACGAGTGGGGAAGACGGGTTTTTGTTGACAAACAAGCGAAAAAGGAAGGTTTCACCGACGAAGGAGCCCCCACTAGTGGCCAGCAGTAGCCGTTACACGCAAGGGGATCCTCAGCACAAGGGCTCCACCTCTCACGGTAGTGCCGCTGGCTTGTTAGGTTGTTACCAGGCAGACAGCCTTTCCAACATGGCAGCGTCAAGCAACGCAGAGCAAACGCAGTTGCAAGATATGGAGGAGGAAGATGCAGGGATGGAGGAGAGAGAGATGGAATCGGACGAAGAGGAGGGCATGGGAGTAGAAAATTCAGACGACGAGGAGGACGATTCGTCTGAAGATGAGAGGGAAAATGAAGCCGAAATCCAGCGTTTGGAGGAGCAGGTAATTAGCAAACAACCGAGCTAAGCATAGTTAACTAACGTTAGCCGACGAGCTAATGAGAATGAATGGGCGGTAAACACAGTCGACTACAACAAGTCAGTAGTTTTAAAACTGAGGAGCGCTCCGTCCTGCTCTGGTTTTGGCAGAAAGTGGAGATATGGTAATGTTAGCTGCTGGTATCCAAAACAATTAAAAGGGCGCCGTATGATACGACGCCATTCACACAGCTGTCGTGATTAGCTGTGCTGCTAATCTGTGATGCTAATGGCTCCTCTGGTGACACATGCGTCTTTTCACCATCTCAGTCCAGTGTGTCATTACAGCTCCCAGTGTGACCAGACAAGAAGTACACATGTGTAGAAAGTACACACGGTCCAAACTTTGTCGGCTGTCACGTTTAAGGTGTTGAATTTGTTCCTGTTGATAACGTCTCATTACATGCAACAAAGGCTGTGTGTGGTCTGTGCTTCCACGATAACCAAAACAAAACCAAGTCTACAACGTTACTGCAGCGTTACCTATGTTACACTCAGTTGCCAGTTTTTAAGGTCGCTAGCTCAAACTAATGCAGCTTAATGCTAAAGCCATGCAATAAATCGTACCTTCATTAACTTTAATTCTGTTCAGTTTTTGTCGAAAATGTTTCAGGGAGGTATTGATTCAACTAAATGGCCATTTTGGAGGCTGTAGTTTGTGGTGCTGTTGAGTTAAATTGAAAGGTGTCTCTTAATATTCAGTCTGCCTTCACTGCTATAAATAAAACATTAGAAACACATCTCAGAATAACAAGGTACAATTCAACAGCACCATAAACTACAGCTTCCAAAATAGTGAAACGAAGAACCAGAAAATGATCATCCTCATGAAGGTAGAATTTAGGGCTGCTACCAACAGTTTTTTTCATTATTGATTAATCTGCCAGTTATTTTCTGTCAGAAAATGGTATAAAGAAGAACACGAAATCCCCAAATTTAAAATGTTGGAACTAGAGATTGTTTATTTTTGCTTATTGCTAATTGCTAATTAGTTGATTATCAAAATAGTTGCCAAATTGATTCATCAACAGATCATTTCAGCTGTTAGAATTTATGGCAGGGCTGTTGCATTGAATTGCATTAGTATTGCCTAATAAACTGACAACTAAATGTATTTGCATCTGTGGTACCCAGGTGGGACCTAGTTTTTGTCCCTTATTTGTCGCAGTTTGTGTCAGAGTTAGGTTTCAAGTTGTGATTGTAGTATTGAAACTGTTGTGCTCAAAATCTGTGAAGTCACTGCTGCTTAAATGTTTGGGCTATGAAGTTACCGTAGTTATTAAGAAGGAACTAAAATCAAATTGTAATTTCAGTTTAATATTTTCTTTGGCAGTAGTAATAAATCACAGCTATATAAATACAGAAGAAGCAGAAGTTAATTAGGATGTATTTCATTGTATTAATCAACATCTTACTCCCTTTCATCTTTGTATGATTTTTTAGCTGTCAATCAACGCGTTCGACTACAACTGCCATGTGGATCTCATCAAACTACTGAAACAGGAGGGAGAACTTTTCCGACTGCGAAAGGCAAGGCAGAAGATGAGTGAACTTTTCCCTCTCACCGAAGGTTGGTGTATATCTAATATGCTTTTGGGGTCAGAAAAATCAATTGACAGGCTTCAATTGACACATTATTTGTGCAACTGAAATCTCATTTTGTTTAATCCTGCAGAGATCTGGCTGGATTGGCTCAAAGATGAGATCCGTCTGACTGAGGAGGAGCCAAACCGGGAGAAAGTATATGAACTTTTTGAGAGAGCTGTAAAAGACTATATCTGTGAGTGCATCACATCATTATTACCGCCTTTTGATTTGACATTCAGTAATTACATAATCTTAACATTTAACTCTGTCTTTATATCCAGGTCCAGATATCTGGCTTGAATATGCTCAGTATTCAATTGGTGGCATGGGCTCTCCAGGTGGGATAGACAAAGTGAGATCCATCTTTGAAAGAGCCATGACAGCTGTGGGACTTCACATGACCAAGGGACAGACAGTGTGGGAGGCGTACAGAGAGTTTGAGAACGCCATTCTGTCCACAGTACAGGTTCGTGTTTCCATCAGCAGGAGAAATCTTATTAGTGGTCAGACATACACTCTGTTTTTGTTGCTGTTTGATCGTGTATGTATGTGAGAGAGAGGTTTTATTTTTAATGATCCAGTCCCAAAAACGATATTAGATCATTCAAGACACACTGATAACATCAGTCTCATTTGTCTCTGTCAGGTTAACAGGTCATACTTTTGAATGATAATCCACTGACGTAACTCTGAATAAATGTTGAATTCCTTTGATGTTAGACTAAATGGGCCTTTGCTAAATTTTGACACAATTCTCTCTGCTGCCTTTCCTCTCAGCCTCCACCTGGCAGAATTCCCAGTCGTGAGGAGCAGGAGCTGCTGAACACTCAGCTTGAGCGAATCCATACACTGTTTCGCCGCCAGCTGGCCGTCCCCTTAATGGGTAAGCATGACGCCTCTTCTGTCCAGACGGGTTGCTGTAAAGTGGGTTGGATTCTTATTGTGAGGGCTGTGTGTCATGGCCATGGGCCACCTGAAAAACTGTGAATTACTGCATTTAAAAAGATAACACTGCCTTTTGAGATAAGTTAAAAGTGGCAGTGATGTGATGTGGCCTTTGAAATACCGTATATATTTAGAAAGAGAGCACTCCTCTTCAGGCACTGTTTTGCACATGTTTTCAGTTTGGTTCAAGAGTTAGTTAGAAGGTCTAGTATTGTGTAGTTTTTGTATTCTGGCCCAGCTGAGTGGAGACCAGGGGCATGTGGGTAATGTTTGAAACTCTTTCCTATCTGAAATTCTCCTTTGTTGAATTGTACACTAAAGTATGGGGCAGAGATTAGGCAGTATACTTTTTTTTTTACATTTAGATTGATACTTCTCAATGTTACTCTGTTACATTTTGTAAATACTGCATGTGGTGTGTGTATCTGTGTTGATAGTGTTGAAAAAAGGAAAAGTGCCATGTAAAAATTGAGATAAATGTGCTCCCTTGCTTTGTAGACATGGAAGCCACCTTTGCAGAGTATGAGGAGTGGGCCGAACATGGGGTGCCTGAGACGGTCATACATCAGTACAAAAAGGCTTTGAAGCAGATGGAAAAGTGCAAACCTTTTGAAGAGTCTATGGTGACTGACTTACATTAATAATTCTGGCTTTAACATCATTTGTTGTCCTCTTAGAATACTTTAAATAATGTGTCTAGCTTTTGCTGTGTATAACATCTGTATGCTGTTGTCTTGCTGCAGCTGGTAGCAGAACCTCCTAAGCTGTCAGAGTATCAGACCTACATTGACTTTGAACTGAAGGAGGGTGACCCAGCACGGATCCAGATAACCTTTGAGCGGGCCCTGGCAGAGAACTGCCTGGTACCAGACATGTGGGCAAAATACACCACCTATCTTGTGAGTACTGGTCAGTGTTTGGTGTGGTGCTGCCTCCCAGTCAGACTGTAATGTTTGCTGTGTAGCGTTTGATCTCATTTCACACGCCATTACCTCCCAGTTGGACTGATCTTGTTTGGCGCCTAAAACTTGCCAATTCCATTGTCTGTGAGCTAAACAACTATGATCAAAGTGTTGCAGCTTGTGTTGAGCTTATCTCAAAAAATACAGCCAATGAACTGGTTTCATTGGCCATTTAACTGTTGTAATATAGTTTCTGACACCTTAAACACTAAACTTGGACAATAACCAGCGATATTTAAGGCTGATAATCATTTTACTCATCTGAACAGAGTAAAACAATTCAATTAAAATGGTTGTTATTTTTATTGTATTGGATATCCTTTTGGCCACAGTGTTGTGAAAATAGCCATGTCTTGTATGGACGATGTGTTATTTTTTTTTTTTATGATTCTGTATTAGTCATATTTCAATGTTAAGGGTCTGCCTGGTTTCCTCAGAGTTTAGCAGCCTGTATAAGGTTGCCGTTGCACAAACAATATGTTTATATTAATATACTTTTTAGAAGAAAATGTGGTCACTGCGGCTCATTACATTATCAGTAACAAATCTCTCAGCTTATTTAAGATTATTTTAACCATGTTGTTATTTGCCTTTAGGATCGTCAGCTCAAGATCAAAGACTTGGTTCTTTCTACTCATGAACGTGCCGTCAGGAACTGCCCCTGGACCATGGGTCTGTGGAAGAGCTACCTGCTGGCGCTGGAGAGGCATGGAGCCGATCATCAGGTTGTCTCAGGTAACAACTACAGTGCAGCATGAAGCTGTTCAGATCATGACTCAGTTGCTGTTTTCATGTATTTTGTGTGTATAGTGTTGTTGTTGTTATGTATTGTTGTTACAACCATTACTGAAATAGAGCCATATATTTTGGTACACTGTGGTGTGACAGATTTTGGAGAGTCATACCTATCTAATAGCACAGTTATGGGGAAATATCCTAGATGCTTGTAGTGGTATGTTGGATCTTTTTATGTATTATTACGCCACTCCTGTTTCCCCTACACAGATGTTTTTGAGAAGGCACTGAATGCAGGTTTCATTCAAGCTACGGATTATGTGGAAATTTGGCAGGCATACCTCGACTACCTGAGGAGACGTGTGGATTTCAGTAAAGGTGAGAGCAGTTGGGTGCCAAAGACGATTAGAAAAAAGTCAAATTCAAACTGTTTTTTGCTGATGGTGTTCTCAACTCTTTTTTTACAGAATCAAGTAAAGAGTTAGAGGAGTTACGAGGAACCTTCTCTCGATCTCTAGACTACATGAAACAAGATGTAGAAGAAAGTAAGTGGATTTCACTGAGATTTGTGTTTGTGGTTTACTTGCTTTGGTTTTCATGTAATTTATTGTGTTGTGGCTTTGTAGGATTTGGTGAAAGTGGAGATCCATCTTGTATCATAATGCAGATCTGGGCAAGAATAGAGGTAAGAATTGTTACTATGACGACCATTTTCAAGAGTTGGACCTCTGTTATGTTCAGTTGTGTTTAACCCTGTATTCAATCTGGTTTTAGTGTGTGTTCTTTTGACTTATTTTATTTATTAATGTGTTAGTTGTGTGTGTTTTATTTGTTAGGTAAAATTTTGTAAAACCCTGCACGAATGAACATTTTGTGATTTTCTTTTTTTCTCGCTACCAGGCCCTCCACTGCAAGAACATGCAAAAAGCCCGAGAACTGTGGGACAGTATCATGACAAAAGGGAATGCCAAATATGCCAACATGTGGCTGGAGTACTATAACCTTGAAAGGTCTGTCAATCCATGTCTGTAAGGAGACAGGGTTATTTGAAGTGAAGTGCTGATGGATGGATGGATGGATTCATTCGTTCGTTTGTTCGTTCGTCATTGAGCCAAAATGTGTTTATGTTTTTATTTTATCCATAGGTCTTATGGAGACCCTGTTCACTGTCGAAAAGCTCTTCACAGAGCAGTTCAGTGCACCTCAGACTACCCAGAGCATGTGTGTGAAGTCCTGCTCACCTTCGAGAGAGTGGAGGGTGAGTCCCAAAATAAAAACCAACGTTAACATGAAAATAAATGAGATTTTCACAAATTAATGTGTCTCTATATTTTGTGTCCTCACATGCAGGTTCTCTGGAGGACTGGGATGTGGCAGTGCAGAAGACAGAGACCCGGCTGAACAGGATTAATGAGCAACGAGCAAAGGTCGGAGCATGTATCAAAACTGCACTACACAGCTGCATCATTTAGCTGCATTTGGCTAATGTTACCATGTTGTGCCCATCTGCTAGGTGGCTGAGAAAGAAGCCAACCTGGCTCGCCAAGAGGATGAGAGAAATGAGCAGCGGCGGAAAGCCAAGTCAGACAAGAAGGCTCAGAAGAAGGTCCAGAAGGGCACTCGATTCGGGGAGAAGAGGAAAGCAGAGCAGGATGATTATCATGACGAATGGAATGAAGACTCAGGTAAGAGAAACTACTTGATTTAAATGATGTAACTTTTTACTTTTCAGCAAAATGAAGTCGGATGTTACTCAATATGTGTTTCCCCTCTGTGACAGAACAAGCCCCTAAAAGGCACAGAGGAAATGGGGACCAAACCACAGAGGAGTACATGGAGACAGAGACGGGACTCTTTGGGAGAAACGCTCCTCCCGGCTATAAGCCCGTTCCACCTGGTGCTAAAAAAGCCCAGCAGGGAGCAGCGGCTGCTGCCCAGAGGCAGAACGACGACAAGCCAGAGCTTCGAAATGATAACAGCAGTGTGTTCATCAGCAACTTGACGTACACCCTGGAGGAGCCTGAGGAAAAGCTCAGGCCGCTGTTTGAGACCTGTGGTCCCATCAAACAGATCCGCCCTGTCTTCAGCAACAAAGGGAGCTTCAAAGGTTACTGCTATGTACAGTTTGAATCCCAGGTGTCAGTCCCTGAAGCCCTGAAGCTGGACAGAATGGAGGTGGAGGGCAGGCCCATGTTTGTGTCACCTTGTGTGGATAAAAACAAAAACCCTGACTTTAAGGTAAATATGACCATGAGTAGACACGTTTGTTTTTTTATGGCCAGGGTACCTGCAGGTCTTGAACCATCTTAAAAATCATTGAATGAGTTTCCTCAAAAAACACTTTAGAAGGTATCAAATACTCTTACATTTCATTTACAAATTCTTAAATGTTTTCTTTTGCCTTGAAGTTTATTAGGGTTCAAACGTATAGCAGTACAAGTGGCATGGCCTTTCACCTTTGTTTATAACTCAAGCTGACAAGAGACATCCTGTGCTATCTCCAGCCCATACGCAAAGAGGTTTGTTCACATTTGATGAAGGGAGAACAAAGGGGCGATGCTTTGAGTGCACAATCACTGAAACACTTCAGGCTTTGTAATGAAGAAGCAAGTGTGAGCTTGGTTTCTCTACTTAAACAGAATTAAACTACCTGAAATGACCCGCTGATTGGCGCTTGTGGCTATAATTGAATTAATTATTTTTAATTGGTTAATCTGACCATTTTATGCCACTTATCAGGGTCATGTCATACCACACAGTGTTACTGAAAAATGTAATAATCAAAATCTAGGTCATATCATTCCTACTGGGTTTCCATCATGCCTTGTCCAATGTGACTGTTAAACAGATGTTAAATTGAATTCTTTGTGGCATTAGAAAGGTCCCTGTAGAAACCCTGATAATGTGTAACACATGACATATGATCATGAATGTCTTTTGTAGGTGTTCAAATACAACACATCAATGGAGAAACACAAAATCTTCATCTCTGGGCTGCCGTTCTCGTGCACTAAAGAGCAACTGGAGGAAATCTGCAAAAGTCATGGCACCATCAAAGAAGTTCGTCTGGTCACGTATCGCTCAGGAAAACCCAAGGTGAGGCATGAAGTGGAGGACAGTGTCCAGATGTTTGGCTAAAAATGGTGTTCTTGATGAAGCTAATGATCACCACCTTTGAGCACGCAAATGCTGAGCAAAGTCCGAGTGTAGAGTGTTGCTGACGTTATTAACGCTCTCGCTGTGTGTCTCTGCAGGGTCTGGCATATGTTGAGTTTGCAGATGAAATCCAGGCGTCTCAGGCAGTTCTGAAAATGGACAGCATGGAAGTAGAGGGCAACAAAATCACTGTTGCGATAAGTAACCCTCCTCGCAGAAACATGATGGATAAACCTGGTTCCAGTAGGCCCACGACAGACATGATGCCTCGCCAGATCTATGGATCGTAAGTTTATGGACGTGTTTCTCTGCTGTCCTGAAGGTTTGCCATTCTCAGATTTGTGTGTGAACAGATAAAGAACTGATTTTTTCCTTCTTTTTTTTTTCCAGGAGAGGAAGAGGACGCACCCAGCTGTCACTGCTCCCTCGTTCACTGCACCGACAAAGTGGGCCTGTTGGCAAAGTTGAGAATGGAACAACAGCTGAGCGGGTGCAGGCAACAGCCAGCGCATCAGTGAACGCAGCTGCAGAGACGAAACCATTGTCAAATTCAGACTTTGCCAGGATGCTTGTCAATAAGTGAGAAGACGAGCGAGAGAATTACGACCGCCTTCACACTGAAAGCCATCTTGTGTCCTTACAAATTAGTGGTGGTGATTTTTCTGTAATTCGTTACCTGACTTCCCTTTAATCTGAGTCTTTGTTCTCATCATCCGTTCTGCGAGATTGCCTTAATCGCCAAGCTCCTGCCCTCCATCTTAAACCCTTTTCAACCAAGACTTTTCACCAGTGTGACAGATTGTTTTTGTCAGGTGTGTTTGAAGGTGGCTGGCAGGCTCTTTTATAAAAGAAAAAGTGTATCATATTTGTGTGTAAATATACTGTGTTTAAAATTGTAAGCCTTATGTTGCAAGGTGTCTTCTTTTGTTGTGTAATGTGAAGGGGACCTGACAGAGGCTTATGGGAGAGTATTTTTCTAAATATTCAAAACAGCCAAACTTGTGAATGTTGTTATACAAAAAAAAAAAGGGTATATGCAAAAGTTTGACAGTTCAGACGTGTAACATAGTTGGTGTGTGTACATAAGTTGGATGTGCTACAGTGATGAAAAGACATATTCTCAAGATGTTTTTAGGGAACCTGTGAACTTTGTTGTGTAACTTATTTTCACCTTTGAGGACACAGCTAACAAGGCTAGCAAAGATTTTTTTTCTGACTATACTATGGCTAAATCATTATTTTTGCATAATACCATCTGAGTTACCATCTGCTAGTAATCATCAGTATTGTGATGCTATGAGTCCCCTGAGAGGGTCCGGCAAATTAGTATTAGTTAACTGGCTTTATCTTGGCCTGAGGACATGTTATTACAGTATGAGAACTGCCCTCATGTCATGTCACACTGCTAACAAGTGATATTGAGTATTTACAGACTATACTGTCTTATGATTTATCTGTTTTCATACTTCACTATTATCACTGATAATGTGGCCTGTCTGTTCAGGGTAAAAACATCCATCATCCAGTCACTGAAGTTATACATCAGTCTGATTTATGTGTTGGGAATGAAGTAGAGATTCAGAGGGAAATTAACTACATTCCCTTCATCTTTTAATATTCAAAGAGTGCACATGTAAGCAGGGTGTTAATGATGCTGAAGGAATGTGTCTCATTTGCTGCTTTGGTGGCTGGTCACATCCCCGACTAAAGAGTATGTTCTTTCGTTTGGTTTATAGAAAGTGTTTCCAGTGGTTTTGATATTCAACTTCACACAAAAGCTAATCATCCCAGCACACTGGAGCTGCAAAGATTAGTCGATTGACAAAAAATTAATTAGCAACTATTTTGATAATTAATCCTTTAAGTCCATATTTAAGGAAAATTTCAAAGATGATGTTCCAGTGTCTCAAATGTGACGTTTGGTTTTCCTTTTCTTACATTATGGTAAATTTAATGTATTCAGGACAATTGATATGACAAAACAAGACATTTGTTGACCTGACGCTCGAGGAGCTTTTCAGTGTTTTTCACAGTTTTCAAAGTTTCGTAGATCAAACAATTAACTGAGAAAATATTAGCAGATTCATCTATAATAATCATTATTTGCTGCCCTGAAGCAGTTCTTTGATGTAAGAACACATTAATTAGTTTTGGGTGTTGAAAAGAGATTATAACCATAAATGTTAGAAAGTACATGTGGACAGTAGTCGTACAGTTTTATAGATGTGGTGCGTTCAGTAGAGCTAATTTCACCCTCTGAGCTGCAGTTATCTGACAGCTAAGAGGCTACTGCTGTCATCTACACATTTTATTTAGGTCTGCAGCTCCTTTCGACACAAGAGAAGAGAATCTATGCAGTTTGTCCATTTCTGTTTTTCCTGTTAGGAGTCAACCATTTGTCCACCGGCCCATTCGCCCTGTTTGCATAGTTAAGACTGTATGTAATGTTCAGTATCTTAATTTCAAAGAGGTCACCATAGTTTGTAATAAATAGAAATCTAAGTTTAAAAACAGATGGAATACAAGCTATACGTATTGCTCTCACCAAAGTGGCCTGATATTAAAAAAAAAAAAAAAAAAATCTGAATATGTTGGTCTTTAGAAGTCACCTTCCACCTTCCTAAAGGTGGTATGAGTGCATTGCTGTTGTTTTGTATAATTTCTATAGTCAATGTTTTGAATTTGGTATAGAGGTGAATAATAAATGGCTATTTTTCTGTTCAGTCACTGTATTTATTTTCCTGTTTGTTTCATTGTCTAGCCTTTTCTACCCTTGTGTTTTGGGTCCTGTAAGAAAAACAAACAAGTTATGTCATGTTTTTTTCTGCTCTAAAACTTGTTTTAATAAAGTTCTGTAAATCATCTTTGATCCCAGTACGACACTCACAGCATTGTTCATTCTAAAAGTTTATAACCTGAAGACATAATGAAAGTTAATACAACACTTGTATTTTAAAATAAAATAAATAATCAGACAAAGTGCTTTCAGTGTTATGAGACATAGTGAACTAAACGTCCACACACTGTACACATCTGCAGTGAAAATCACTGAAGCATCTCAAGTCAAACGACATGATAAAGCTTTGTTTCACATCACCAGTAGTCAAACCTCAGATTGAATTCTGATGAGAATAAAAATGCATTGAATACCTATGGGAACATTTTTACAAACTAAAAGTGGAAAAAAAAATGTAGCTATTCATTGTGCAGGAAAAAGATTTGTATAAAAACAAACCTAAACGCAGAAAAATCTGATATCAATTCAACATCCTGCAGCAGTTTCAATGAATTCAGCAGGATAGAACTGAAACCGAGGCACAGGGACAGTAAGGTAGAATACGGCCCAGGGTCAAGGCAATTCAACACATTTTATGATAAGATTGTTATCCATCAGATTCATCAAAACCTATCTCTGCATGCTAGCGTCTCATGCCTATTCTTCTTCCGTCTCCTGCTCAGTTGTGGATGGGGATGGTCTGTTTGCAGTCGGGACAGGCCTGGTCCTCTCTGGCTCCCGGCAGCCCCACAGCATGCTCTGTTGTAGAAATCAACAATGTGTCTAAGGTTATCTCTGTACATTTGGCTATAAAGCGAATGAAAGGCCGCACATCACCCTCATTAGCTGTGTCTAGAGCCGCATAATATTCAGCCCTTTGTTCTTTGCGAATTGTGATCGGTGGGTATCGCGCTTGCATAAGCACAAGGTTCATTAGCAGGCGTGATGTGCGTCCATTGCCGTCTACAAATGGGTGCACATACACCAGTTTGTAGTGGGCGAGAGCTGCGTACTCCACAGGGTGCAGCTGCAGGGCCTCATCAGAGTTGAGCCACTGAACCAGCTCCTGCATGTGTCTCTGCAGGTCTTGAGGGTGGGGTGGGATGTGGTGGCCCACAAACACCTGGCTGGTGCGCAGCCTGCCTCCCTCCACGGGGTCCACATACCCGAGCACCCGCCGGTGAATCTCCAGGATGTCACTGACAGTCATGGTTCCTGATCTGGACAACAGCGTGGTGTTGATGTACTTCATGGCCGCATCCACACCGATGGCCTCGTTCTGCTCCTGCAGGCTTTTCCCAGGAACGGCGTAACGCGTCTCGATGATGTGACGGATTTCAGACAGAGTGAGCGTGCTGCCTTCAATGGCCACCGTGTGATAGATGTGGTGGTAGTAGGTTTCTTCCATCACTCGTCGGAGTGCAGAGTTGCCTTTAGGAATGGACATAAGCCTGCGCACTTTACTGTCAATGATGCCAAAGTAACGCTGGTCAATCTCTTCCACCAAGGGCAGAGTTCGGTCTCGGCTGACCAGAGCCCGCTCATTACATGGAGAAATGGCCAAGGCCTTGGTGTAGAGGTGGTCTGCCTGGACGACATCCTTCTCCTCCTCCAGAATGGTCCCCAGCTCTGTCAGGGCATCCACAAAATCAGGGTTCATACTCAGTGCATGCACCAGCAGCTTGTGAGCCTTCTCCCTCTTCCCCAGTTTCTTCATCTCCAGAGCCTGCTGCAGCGCCGCTTTGGCCTCCAGCTCCATCTCTGCAAACAGAACGTGAGAGACGCTGTCAACTCCAACAGGTGAAACATACAGACAACAGAGCTGGGCAGTACTGCAAATAAATATGATATGCACAGGAACTTATTCCAGCAGCGATCAGAATCAGAGTCTGGTTTATTGTCAAGTAGGTTTTCAACATACAAGGAATTTGCTTTGGTGTTTTGGTGCATACCAATAAACATAGTAAGAAGAAAAGAAATACACTGCTCAAAAAATTAAGGGAACACTTAATCATCACAGTATAACACCAAGTCAGTTAAACTTCAGGGATATCAGTCTGTCCATTTAGGAAGCACAAGTGATTGTGAATCAATTTCACCTGCTTTGGTGCAAATGAAAGTGACAACAGGTGCAATGGAGAGGCAAAAGCAAGACAACCCCCAAAAAGGGAATGGTTTTGCATGTGGTGGCCACACACAGTTGCTCTCTCCTTATCCTTCCTGTCTTATTCTTCTCTAGTTTTGTGTTTTGCTAGTATCCTTGTTGCTACTGGCAACATAAGGCGGCACCTGCAGCCCAATCAGGTTGCACAGGTAGTCCAGCTCTTCCAGGATGGCACATCCATACGTGCGGTCGCAAGAAGGTTTGCCATGTCTGCCAGCACAGTCTAAAGAGCATGGAGGAGATACCAGGAGACCGGCCGTTACACGAGGAGAGCTGGACAGGGCCTTAGAAGGGCATCAACCCAGCAGCAGGACCAGTACCTGCTCCTTTGTGCAAGGAGGAACAGGAGTATCACTGCCAGAGCCCTACAACATGACCTCCAGCAGGCTACTACTACTACAAACTGTCAGAAACAGACTCCATGAGGGTGGCATGAGGGTGGCATGAGGGCCCGACATCTAGGAGGAGATTCCCCAGGGCACCATCCACCAACTCATCAGGAGCATGCAGACGTTGTCGGTAGTGCATACAGGCGGTAGTACAGACACACAAGTTGGATCAACCTGTGATTTCAATTTTTTAACTTTGATTTTCGGTGCGATTGTGAATCTGGCCCTCAATGGGTTGATGATTTTGGTTTCCATTGACCGTTGTTATGTCATTTGTTCTCAATAAATTATACAATTTACATCTGTAAAGATTTTCAACTTGAATAATTCATTCAACAAGATCTGATGTGTGATTGAAGTGTTCCCCTAATTCTTATTTAGCAGTGTATAAACAGATGAAACAAGACAATACGTTACATATTACATTTCATATGTAAAAGCACCTGTTTGACACAGAATCACAAAGACAAACTAGAACTGGCATTTTCAAAAACCAGAAATCATTGATAAAACTGTTTTTAATGCCTCAAAATGAGATTACTGCACCAGATGATAACGCTGCAGCCTGGGGCCTTTTTAACCTGTTTCTTATTTTGCTTATAAAACGTCAGAAAATTGTGTGAAAATGGCCATCACAATTTCCAGGAGCCCGAGGACGGAGAGACTTCAAAATGTTTGTTAAAATCTTTGTATTTAAGAACCTGTAAACTGTGAACGTTGGGATGTTGTTCTCGATAAATGACTTGAGACGCCATAACATATGGTGCTGACTTGAGCTGTGAATTTAGTGGATCAATACACCTGTTCTTGTTTGTACCTTTGCTGGGCTTGGACCTGTGAGGCAGCAGATCAAGGGCGGTGAAGGGGACGGTGAGGCTGGTGGACTGCACAGCTGGATGCTGTTGAGAGCCTCCCCACAGCTGGCAGCGGAGCTGAGCGATGCCCTTCAGGGCGGCGCAGCACTGGTTCTCCACCCCGACCAGGGGCATCAGGAGGGCTACCAGAGAGCCGAGGAGCACACACAGCAGCGGGCCCCATCCTCCGAGGACACGGCCACTGGTGTAACGCCACACCGTCACAGCAGCCATAATGGTCCCAGGTTAAATCCTCCATCCTCTGGTGATACGATCCCCCATGTATACCCACCCCAGCTAGGAGAGCCAGAGGGCGGCAGTCAGGACGGAGAGCACGGCCAACATGACAGCTGGGAGTCACCGACACCGCCGAGGAAATTCAGCTAAGGTTTCCAACTTTTACAGCTCGTCACTCGGCTCCCTGCCGCCCGTGTGTGGCTCTGAGCTGAAAACAAAGACTCAGTGAACGATTAGTTAATTCAGACACCGACTTGTTATCGGCGTCAGCTCCGTTGTGTACAAAATATACACATCATCTCCTCGGGCAGGACGTGTCAACATTCTTGAACATCATTGGCCAGAATTTTATTAAAGGACGGCGCCGATTGGCTGAAAGTACAGGTCGTAGCCGTCTCTGATTGGGTAGTTTTAAGATATTTTGCCCAAAGTTTTGCCTTTCAGGCAGTACAACGCAGTGTTCCACAGCAGCAGAGCGACATTATGTACCTTAGTGAAAATTTTACAAAACACATTTAATTAATGAATTTATTCATTAACCTTATAAAAGGTATTATCAATTGATACACATTTTTTGTATTTAAGTTGTCTGCCCCCGTTTTAATACAGTTTTAAAACGTAATTTCATCTGTTTATACGAAGTTTTTTTTTATTTTCTTTTTTCACCTGATATTGTGTATTGTGTCCTAATGGCTCAGCAGTAGCTGTCGCCCTACAGACAGATTGTTTTGCATTGTTTATAGGAATTACCTGAGAGGTTTTGCTCAGGGCAAAACCCCCAAATTAACAGCTGCAACACTTCAAAAGCAGAGTACTGATACAGATTGTTCCACATTGGTGGCTCCTACAACCCCAGAGTTATGGTGGCCAGAGATATGTAACGTTTTGTTGCTGTTCTCATAATAAACAGACATTTCCAGCACAATTTATTTCTCATAAACAGGAAGCAAATACTCATGGAGCTTGCCTGGTCTGACATTTTGGGGCTGATAGATTAGTATTTGATTTGGCCTATCACAGTGTTCTTGTTGTCCAGTATTATAGGAAAGGAATAGTTATTCTGCCTGGATGCTATTGTCCGCCAACAGTATTTACTTTCTGGGAGTGGGACATTTAAAAAAGGTTGTGTTTGATCTACTTAACCACAATTTGCATGAAGGAACTAAAAACAAAGCAGTTTTGTCATGACACCTTCAATTAATTTCTCAGTATTTTTTGATTATGCAGGAATTAGCACCAAGATCTCCAGCTTACTTGTTCTTCTATAACTTTAATGCAGAAGAAACAGAAGAGGGCAGCATTGCTCTGTTATGCAAATATCATAGTCATGGTGCAGCATATCCTCTGAGGACCGCAGTAGCCACTTGGCCTCACAATCATTATAATCGAGATTTGTTCTAATGCCATCCAGATTTTGAATGCAGTAAAAATGAATCTGTATTTGTATTATCAAGATAAAGAAATACCTCCTTTATCTTTTGTTCCTTCTCTTTGTAATAACATTTAGTAATCTTTCAGTTCTATTTATACTTGTCCTTCCTGTCCTTGATATTCAGTTTTGTTTGGCTTTATGCATTTTTTCCAAAGCATCCATTCTTTCATATGTGTCATGTATATCTAGTCAATCGAAACTGCCTTTACAGAAATTACCACCGCTGTGAACAGCCTGTTGTAATGAGGACCAATTTGTGGCTGTGCGCCAAAGCCAACACTGTTAGACATTATCAGCTCGAAATAGCCCAAATTCACGCACAGGCTGCAACTCTGCAGCAACACACTGTCCCCACAGACTGTGCAGCGGAAGTTATGAATGAACAACCATGTAGATGACTGTCTGTGCAGTATAGAGATTCAGTGGGTCTGTTTGAAATTTGGGCTTTTGAATTTGTCTAGTCATGTTGCACACTGTGCACCATGTGAGACCTGGAGCTGCACACTAACATCATTTACCACCACAGAGTCTCTCTGTGCTGCTCTGACCCACAGCGGTTTCACCTTGGAGGATAATGGAGCAGCCTGTTTGAGTGTGCTTGAGCTGCATTATTTCTTTATTCCTTTTATTCATGCACTCTGTCACACACAGATCTCAAAGCAAAGAGGAGGCTGTAGCAAGATAGCATCAGGATATTTATTGATTGTTCATTTCATTCTCTAAAAGAAACAAAGAAACAAAGAAAAAGAAAGAAAGAAACCTTGGGGGAATATTTAATCAACATGCCGCCAATGATTAACTGTGATGGGTGGAAAGACGACTGCTGCCTGTGGGACACTGGCTCTGCATTTTGCATATCCATTGCTCAAATCAGGCGATCGGTGCTGTATAATTTGCCACTGAATCAAGATCTTTTACTCTTATTACTCTTTGGCTTGGAAGCAGCTTTCACTCTATAATGCATGAAACCAGCAGGCCTCCAGCTGGTTTTGGTGAGAAAATAGAAGAAGACAAAGACTTCACAGGTTCTTATTTCCACATAGATTCTTGCTTTTATTTTTCTCTTCACAACAAAAATGAACATATGGTGATAATCTTAACATCTCCTACTATCTATAAGATGTCCTCTAATGGCTCAATACCCACTCCAACTACCAAATTGTTTATTATTTTTGTATATAAAAGACCAATGAATATGCAAGATGAAAAATAACAAGGTCTGTGCCATAATAAATTAGAGGAACATAAAAGTAAAAGCAATGTGCAGTTGCAGCAGAATACAGGAGACAAAGCTCTATTGATGATTTTCCAAATTCAGATTCAAAAGAAAGAGCAAATAGCCCTCAAAGAGTTTAGATAAATCACAGACTTGTGAATGGTGGCATAACAAAACCAAATATTATTTGCTGTAAACATTTTTAATTTGTCGTCCTGCATTGAAAACAAAATACATCTTTATGAACTATTATCAAAATCTGTAAAAACATGGTCAGAGAGTGTCAATATATAGAGTATGTGTATCAGTGCTGTAGCTAATGATCTAAAATGACAGAGAAAAGAAAAAATACATAAGAGTAACTTAGACACATTTTAGATCTAAATCAAACCTTCATCTGATGAAGAAGCAGCAGAGAGCACATAACACTGGACATCACAAAGCCTGCGCAGGTTTCCTCAGATCAGGCTGTGACTTTTAGATCTCTTTGATTATTTTTTTTTCGCCTGGTGCTGTTTTGGAAAAGTTAACTGGCATTTAGCTTAATAAGGTTTTCTGTGAAGCAAACTTTGTGATTGTGATTTAGTGTCTTCAAAGTGACCCCCCCCCCCCTTTTTTTTTTTTTTTTTTTTTTTTACTGGTATGCGGTTCTCAAAACAGCAGTGAGGAGGAAATTAATTAGGATGTGTTTTTGTCAATTTAAATTGAGGGTTAACAGACTAAGTGGATGCTGAACTAGTGTGAGACATCAATTTTGCTCCTCTCTTGGATTCTGTTATCTGGCTGCAGTCCAGTTGTTTACACCACAAACAAGCATTAAAGCATTGACATCTTGGCTTCTTCTTCAAATAAGTATCCACAACAGTTGAGTTTAGATTCTATTTTAGTGGAAACACAAGGACATGTGGCAGAATGACTGACTGATCAAGGAGAAATGATGGCATGAAATGAATGGCCCTCTGGTCATATTGTGGACTAATTCTATGCCCATCTGGCATATGCTCACATGAGCTGAAACCCCCTCAGCTGTGGAAACAGATAAAACAGCACGAGTCTGCAGTTAAAATTACTGATGAGCAATTAAATGCCTCACGTCACTTTGGGATTATTATCAGAATGGAACCGTTTCGTGAAAAGTAAGGTGTCTGTCTTATTTGTAATGCAGCCCTACAGTATTGCTTTCATCTCCTGTATCAGTGTTGTTAAATGACTGTGATGCATGGAACATGAATTACAAGCTTTCTCTGTAACCTGCATGAAAAAAAAAACGATGTTTTCACTAAATATTTTGCTAGACTTTGTTGCTACATACATCAGCATGATCCTCACACCAGCTGACTTGTTAACTTGAAGCACACTCCAGAGATGACCTGTCACAGTCTATTTTTAAAAATAACACCCTGTCTTTTCACTACTTGCTGGAACTCTGCTTCAAGAGGTAGAAAATCCATCTGCCCACCTGGAAAAAAACGCGACCTGTCAGGGCAGGAAATAAATCCCTCTGATACAGACGCCTCGCCTCCTCCCCTACCAGCTCTCCTCTCTCCAGCCTCTGTGGAGCCGTCAGTCTGCTTGCCTTTCTGTCTGAGAAGAGGCTTTGTTCTGGGTGACAGAGCTGGGTGTCAGCGATAGAGGATCTCGTTAGACAGTCAGAGGGAGAGGGATGGTGGCTCTCTTTCCACTCTCTGAGTATGGATGGCTCAGAAAGCAGGGATGAGGGTGGGCATAAAATGGATGACAGAGTGAAGGAGAGCTGCACTGGGAGCAACAACTGTCAGCATCCAAAATACCTATCTAAAATGAGCGTTTGCACCAAAATGCATGATCCAAACACTCACTGGCAGAGCGACAAATGTTCTTACAAGACGATTTGGGAGGTCAGGATGTCTTGTTTTCTCTGGTGACAAGAGCAGAGGGCAGAGGGTTGCTGTTGTTTGTCCTCAACCTGGCCAGGTTGAGGAAATCAGAAAGATAAAAACAAAATAACCAGCTTTAAAGCCTCTGAACTTCATTGTGTCACAGTGACAGTATTCTGATGTTTCTGCCCCACCTCCCTCCGACCCAGCCGCCTGGTGAGCCTCACAGCGCGTGCTGAGGCTCCCCTCGGCTGCTTCTGCTGAAAGGAGCTCAGAGTAGGTTGGAGGAAAGTGAAGGGATGCGGCACACCTGTGGCGGCCTCCCCGGGTGTCAAACAGGTAATTACTGGAGCTCTGTCCCTGCAGTTTTCCTTGCACTGAGCAAGGGGCCACTGTCCACAACACTGTCACACTCGGATGATTAAGTTTTTTGTCTTGAGGAAAGCAGCTTTTGAAATACTGCAGTTAACTGGTTCATTGTATAATGAACAAACAACAGTGGCAATGTCACATTTACACCCAAAACATGTACGACATACCAACATCAAATACAAGCACTGACCTAGACCTATAAAACCACTAGGCTACTAGAAAGCAAAACCCCCTTCACAATAAAGCTAAATCAGTCGACTGTAAAATGAGAGAAACATTTAATTTTTTTCATGCAAATTTTTTTTAGACACATTGTGATTATTATTTCTAACGTTACTCTCTGAATATCCTTCACCCTTTGGTTCAGACTGTAACACAGCATATAGAGGTTGTTCAGGCAGAGAACTCACACATAAGAGCACTCCAGTGGCTACAACATACTGTAAATCTAACACCCTTTACAATAAGGTTGTGTG